GCCTTCTTCCTTCAGAACTCTGGCTCTCTCCACATCCCCAGAAGGCACTCTGCTCTTGGCAGTTGTGGTTTCTTTGGATTTGCCTGTAGGTGGCTCTTTGTGATATTCTGAATCCCTCCTCTTCTGAGCTGAAACAGGCACCAAGGGGATAGAGGGCAGTTTCAGACGCCACTCCTGCCCAAGTGAGTCCATGAGAGCTCTGGTCATGCTGTTGAGGCCTTCCAAGGCTGGCATCACACTGTCATCAATTTGCAGCACAGTCTTGTAGTCCACGAAGGCCAGGGGATACTTCTCCTGAGCCTCATGGGCCGATGCTCGCCGCAGCGATGGCTTCATGCTGAAGGGAACCAAGGCCAGTGCTGAAGTGCAATCTTTTTTTTTTCTTTCTTTTTTTTTATTGTTTAAAGTATTACAAAGAGTATTACATATGTCTCCCCGCCCCCTTGACAATCCCCCCGGTTAAAGTCCTTCGGTTGATCTCTTACCCGCCCCCCCGCCACCCCCCGGCCCCTGATGTGCAATCTTCGATGCAATCTCTGCAGTTCCCATCCCATCCTTCAAGTGGCATGCTGCTCGGTTGGAGTAGGGAATACTTTCTTCTTTATAGTCCAAAGAACCTTGCTCCTGCATCACTCGCAGTGCACGGCTGTAGAGCGAGGAGGCCTCGGAGAACTGGCGGTTGCGGAAGCTCTCATTGCCTGCGGTGCACCTCCGCTCCGCAGAGTCTGAGAGTTTGGGGGCCATCCTGGGTTCCCCCGGCAAATGGCGGCAGGCCTCCGTTGCGGAACAGCATCCGGGGGGAAGCCAAGCGAGGAATTTAAAAAATATATATTTTTATTGATTTCAGAGAGTAAGGGAAAGGGAGAGAGAGATAGAAACATCAATGATGAGAGAGAATCATTGACTGGCTGCCTCCTGCAACCCAGGCATGTGCCCTTGACCCGAATCAAACCCGGGGCCTTTCAGTCCACAGGCGGACACTCTATCCTATCCACTGAGCCAGACTGGCTAGGGCTCAAGCAAGGAATTTAAGTGAAATTGCTATAAGAACTTCTTCCATTCCTTCTACTTATCTTCATGAATATGTTAGACTGAATTCTCAAGAAGGCAAAGTGTGAAGAAAAGGTTAGGTGCTAACATATTATTGGGTGGATGGGTGAGTCTCAGGTCATTGAGAGTAAAAGACAAATGGAATGAGGCAGCGAAAGACAGAATGCCAACGCAACATGGTGCATTGTTACACTTGTCACAGTCTTACAAAAAACGCAGTTGGTTGCTCAGATACATGGGCCATTTCTGCATTTATGGGAAGATTGCTTGGAGCTATTAGTTCTTAGAATAGTCTGTTAGGAAGAGAAAGGGCAAGGAGTTTATCTGTGGGCCTGTAACAATATCCTGCTTTTCACTGTCAAAGTTTGCCCCTGGAGTGTTAACCTCACACCCTTTCAGGTTATGTACACAGCCCCCCTGGGAAGTCGGTGAAGCCAGTGCCTCTGTGAGTTGGAACTGGGCTGCGGCTGCCAGGAGGAGCATAATAAAGGCAGTTCTGAAGCTTAACCCACGACCCAGGGGAGGCCAAGGCACCCATGGGATTAATTAGTGCAGTGAGGTTGTCGGGTGGGACTCTACACTGAGAGTTTTCTAGGTTTCCATGTTGCTTCTTGTAAAGAATAATGGGGGAAGTCTCCATGGGATAATTACTGTGAATTTAATTATCTATCTATCTACCTACCTATCTATAGAATATTCATCCACAGCTCTATGAATTGGGGAAAAAAAAAGAACATATAGCCCAGCAGGTTGAGTGTGGACCTATGAACCAGGAGATCACAATTTGATTCCTGGTCAGGGCACATGCCTGGGTTCAGGCTTGATCCCCAGTAGGGGGCATGCAGGAGGCAGCCGATCAGTGATTCTCTCTCATCATTGATGTTTCTTTCTCTCTGACCTTCTCTTCCTCTCTGAAATCAATAAAAATATCTTTTTTTTAAAAAAAAAGAACATATAGCTTTATTCATCTCATTTAAAGATCAAGTCCATTAAAACTTTACTCTTCTTGTTTAATATTTATAAAATGAATAATATATTTATGTTATTTTGATCAACCATGTATTACTGTTGAATCATCTAGAAGGAATTTTAACATCTAGTTCCTTATAATAGAAAATTTACACTTTAATTTATATGAAATTTTAGGGGATTATGATGGATAATCATAAGATTTTAAACAAGAAATACTTTTATGTTGGATTAAAATTCTTGTGGGAGAAGTGAAATAAAAACAGTTGTTAAAAAAAAGGGCTTATAAAACAGTATGAAGGTTTCTCAAAAAAATTAAGCATAGTATTACCACATGATCCAACCATTCCACTTCAGGTTATATACCCAGAAGAACTGAAAGCAGGGACTCGAGCAGATAATTTTGCACCCATGTTCATAGCAGTATTATTCACATTAGCCAAAAGGTGGACAACCAAAATGTCCATTGACAGGTGAATAGATAAATAGTACGTAGTATATACATAAAGTGGAATATTCAGTGTTAAAATGGAGTGAAATTCTGACACCAAGTACAACATGCATGAATCTTGAGGTCATTATGCTAAGTGTAAGCCAGTCACAAAAGACAAATACTGTATGAATTCCATTTCTAGGCACCTGAGTAGTCAAATTCAGTGATAGAAAGTAGTCTTTTACACACATTATTGCTAATCCTCATAACTTTTAGAGATAGGAGGTACTAATTCTAACTTGACAAATGAGAAAAGACTCCCTTATGGTAGGCTTGAAAATCACCTTAGAATTTTCAGAAATAAAGTGATTTGGCAGACTCCTGTTTCAGCTAGAATTGATAACCAGAACAGCGAGCTGAGGTTTTTGTCTGGGGTTGTGTCTCCTGAAGCTGAAAAATGACATCACAGACCTGCAGATTTAAGCAAAAGCATGGAAAATTTGTTACAAGCAGGTTCAGCTCCCCGCACCGGGAGGGGCCCCAATAATGGGTGTCCTGTGAAGTTAATCAGTCCATTCCAGAGATATATATGTGCTACAAGCCTGCTCTATATCTGTCAACACCTGATTGATTCCCTCAATTGTGCTTGCCCAGCTACAGGCCTGAACTACCCTGTCCCTATGGGTCAGTTCACCTTATTGTTGCAGACTCTTCCTACTTTCACATACCTCCTGCTCTAAGCCTAGAAACATTTATTCCTGCATGGTAGGTTTCTGTGATTAGGCTTGCTCAAACTGCCATGTCTGGCCCTGACTACACGTCCCCTGCCTTTGTTTTCCATTGGACCCCTGCCTGTCTGCCTGCATGTCAAGCTAACTCCTCTCAGATTTTTAAAAGTCACAATCTTTTCTTTTAATATATTTTTATTTATTTCAGAGAGGAAGGGAGGGGGAGAGAGCTAGAAACAACGACCAGAGAGAATCATTGATGGGCTGCCTCCTGCACGCCTCCTACTGGGGACTGAGCCCACAATCCGGGCATATGGCCCAACTGGGAGTCGGCACCGTGACCTCCTGGTTCATAGGTCAGCGCTCAGCCACCGAGCCACTCCCTGGTCAAGTCTGTAAAACATTCTCTGGGGTCCCTTTCTCTTCCCAGGGAAGACTGTGTCTCCCTAGGCACCCAGCGCAGGCAAGGCAGACAGGCCTGGAGCAGAGCGGAGCCCGGCAGCCAGCAGGAGCCCGGCCGAGGCTGCTTCCCAGCGGAGCCTGATGGTGCTCGAGCCTTTTGACCCGTTTTGCACTGAGTGAAGTTCCCTTCGTCACCACACTCCAGCCTGGAGTTCTTGCGGGTTGAACTGGTTAACGACCCGCATAAAGTCATGCAATTTAAAATTAGGTGCTATAGAGATTGCGTTCAAAGAGCACAGGGGTAAGGTTTTTGCACACACTGGGTCCCCCATACGTTTACGTTCCCTTTCATTTTCTGCCGATTCTAACGCACTGTTTTCTCTCTTACTCTCAGAGGACGACTGCAACCTCTTTCCAGCCTAATGCACCTCTCAGCACTGAGCGCCCCCACCACGCGCTGGGGCATAAAGCACACTGTGTAAGTTAGCAGAAGCGCGGCGCCACCTCCACGCCACGCCCCCACTTCCGGCAGCCCGCCGCGCTGAGGCGCCCTCCCCGAGCTGTTTCCGGCGAGGCCTGTGCGCAGCCCCCGCCCCCGGAGC